GTTCACCTTGGAGACCTGCTGCGGATATGGGTACGATCAGGCAGGAGATTTTAAATTGCCTCCCTCGTATTTTCACGGCTCATGTGGAGCACACGGGACACAACAGGAACCGCTGCGCTTTACGAGACCAGCATCCCTATCTCAGGCTGAGCCACTTCCAGGGACATGATCTCTAAACCAGAAAAGAGAACTCTGGCCCGGACTCCACACGAGGTCTACGAGTTCGTTTGCGTCACCGCGCAAAGTAATCCTTGCGGATCACCATCTCCCATGCCTGGTGTGGGAATATTAACCCACTTCCCTTTCGGCAACCGAGTAGACAATATACCGTTAAGTATCTCATCTCCCCGCAGTGTCTAGACGGCTTTAGCCGGTGCCTTAGGATCGACTGACCCACATTCAACTACTGTTCACGTGGAACCCTTCTCCACTTCAGTCTTCAAGGATCTCACTTGAATATTTGCTACTACCACCAAGATCTGCACTAGTGGAAGCTCCAGCTGGGTGCACACCCAAAGCCTTCATTGCAACCACTACGACCCTCTTACACGTCATTGCAAGACTTTTCACGGAAAATACAAGCATATGACGGCAGAGTATAGGTGGCCCGCTCCAGCGCCATCCATTTTCAGGGCTAGTTGATTCGGCAGGTGAGTTGTTACACACTCCTTAGCGGATTCCGACTTCCATGGCCACCGTCCTGCTGTCTGTATCAACCAACACCTTTTATGGTGTCTAATGAGCGGGCACTTTGGCACCTCAACTCCGCGTTTGGTTCATCCCACATCGCCAGTTCTGCTTACCAAAAATGGCCCACTTGGAACTCGTATTCAACGCCAAAGTTCAAAATCAAGCAACTTTGACATCATACCCATTTAGAGTTTGAGAATAGGTTAAGAACATTTCGTTCCCAAGTCCTCTAATCATTCGCTTTACCGAGTATAACTTCTAATGAGCTCCAGCTATCCTGGGGGAAACTTCAGAGGGAACCAGCTACTAGATGGTTCGATTAGTCTTTCGCCCCTATACCCAAGTCAGACGATCGATTTGCACGTCAGAACCGCTTCGGACTTCCACCAGAGTTTCCTCTGGCTTCGTCCTGCTCAGGAATAGTTCACCATCTTTCGGGTCTCACCGCGTACGCTCTTCCTCCACCCTACTGTAAACAGTTAGAATGGGGCCATGCTGCCCTTTTTTACAAGATCTCACATCAGACTCTAAAGAGCCATTTACTTTCATTTCGCTTTTAGGTTTTTAACACCCAAAAACTTGCGCACACGATAAACTCCTTGGTCCGTGTTTCAAGACGGGTCGGATAGATGACCGGCTTTTACATGGGGAGCGAGTACGAGAGCATTAACTGGACCGATCTAAATGAAAAGCACGTGTCGCATGCGACCGTAACTTACAATCAGATCGAACCAATAAATGCCCGTAAGCCATACTCAAATGTCCAAGACAAAAGATGCTAACGCTGTTTGGGTACCAGCAAGCTGGCCTCAAAACGGCGGTTACAAATCTGCCTCAAACATCCCCAAGCACCAAACAAGCAAATGCATCACAGAAAATTATGATGCTTCTTTCTGTCCCAATCTGGAGCTCAGAGATCACAACATAAAAATAATGTAAATGAATACTTGAAAGATACGCCGACTCTATCCGTTTCCACCTCTCCGGTTTCACGTCCTCTTTAACTCTCTCTTCAAAGTGCTTTGCAACTTTCCTTCACAGTACTTGTTTGCTATCGGTCTCGTGGCAATATTGAGTCTTAGATGAAGTTTACCACCGACTTTGGGCTGCGATCCCAAACAACCCGACTCTAAAGCACGTAAATATCGATCAATTATCTCAATGTACAGGACTTGCACCTTCTGTGGAACCCCTGTCAAGGGGACTTATTTGAGACAAAAGATTAAAAATTACGGCTTATACGCTACACCTCATAATGCCTTAGGCAAAATGATTTAGCGATGGACATTTCCCTATTCACTCGCCGTTACTAGGGGAATCCTGTTTAGTTTCTTTTCCTCCGCTTACTGATATGCTTAAGTTCAGCGGGTGCTCTCGACTGAGTTCAGGTCAAAAAATCAATATTGTTGATGATACATGCGAACAATTAAACATATCTAACAATCAATTTAAAACATAAAGAAGCCACAAAAGCAATTATACAATAAAGCTTTCGCTTTGAAAGATAATGACCCTGAACCAGACATAGCAAAGGGTTTGACCCCTATGCGGCAATATGCGTTCAAAACTTTTATGCTCAAGGCTGCTGCAGTTCGCAAAACTTATCGCAGATTGCTGCGTTCTTCATCGATCCACGAGCCTAGTGATCCACCGGAAAGGCTAGGAATTTTGTTTTTTTTTAAAATATAGAGAAAAAAAGAGTGCTGGCGTCCTCACTTAAGAGGCTCATTAAGTCTTAAACTCATTATAGTCCTAACATGTCACCACATATACAGCCACGGACGTTCACAACTGTATCAGCAACACCTAGACACCAGCGACAGCCGTTACACAACAATTATTTCATTGCGATTCAAAATTGAACATCACATAAAGTAATGATCCAGCAGCAGGTTCACCTACAGCTACCTTGTTACGACTTTTGCCCGGTTCAAGCCACTGCGATTAAATTGGTTTCCATCAAAATAATTTAGATAAATTAAATCAACGGTCCCCAAATTTCTCGAAATGGCTCAGTCCCGGGCAGCGACGGGCGGTGTGTACAAAGGGCAGGGACGTAATCAACGCGAGCTGATGACTCGCACTTACTTGGAATTCCTCGTTCACGGAAAATAATTGCAATTTCCGATCCCAATCACGGCAAATTTTCAATGGTTTACCCGCCCCTTTCAGGGTAGGACAAGCACGTTGATTTTGCCAGTGTAGCGCGCGTGCAGCCCCGGACATCTAAGGGCATCACAGACCTGTTATTGCTCAATTTCTTTCGGCTGAACGCCGCAAATCCCTCTAAGAAGCTGTATACACAAAGGGTATGTACCAGCTATTTAGTAGGTTAGAGTCTCGCTCGTTATCGGAATAAACCAGACAAATCACTCCACGAACTAAGAACGGCCATGCACCACCATCCACTGAATCATGAAAAAGCTATCAATCTGTCAATCCTCACAGTGTCCGGGCCGGGTGAGTTTCCCCGTGTTGAGTCAAATTAAGCCGCAGGCTCCACTCCTGGTGGTGCCCTTCCGTCAATTCCTTTAAGTTTCAGCTTTGCAACCATACTTCCCCCGGAACCGGAAGACTTTCGTTTCCGGGAAGCTCCCCACCAAGGCAATATAATTTCCATCAGCGGATCGCTAGTTGGCATCGTTTACGGTCAGAACTAGGGCGGTATCTGATCGCCTTCGAACCTCTGACTTTCGTTCTTGATTAATGAAGACATTCTTGGCAAATGCTTTCGCTGTAGTTTGTCTGGCCACGGTCCAAGAATTTCACCTCTCACGGGGCCATACAAATGCCCCCGTTTGTCTCTGTTAACCATTATCTCAGTCCGTAAAACCAATAAAACTGAACCGAAATCGTTTTCTATTATTCCATGCACGATCATTCAAGCGAAAACGCCTGTTTGAAGCACTCTGATTTGTTCAAAGTAAACTTGCAATGACTGTTAAAAATCCTGTTAAGGACTCAAAACCGAACATTACGATAAATCGATAACACCCAGAAACACCCGAAGGGTTCCAAGGTACCGATACGAATCCAACTACGAGCTTTTTAACCGCAGCAATAATTCTATGTATTAGCAGAGCTGGAATTACCGCGGCTGCTGGCACCAGACTTGCCCTCTGCTTGATACTCGTTAAAGGGTTTAAATTGTACCCATTCCGATGACCGGCCTCAAAGAGAACAGTCTCGTTATTTCTCGTCACTACCTCCTCGAGCCGAGAGTGGGTAATTTGCGCGCCTGCTGCCATCCTTAGACGTAGTGGCCATTTCTCAGGCCCCTTCTCCGGAGTCGAACCCTGATCCTCCGTTATCCGTCACCACCACGGGAGTCGATTATGCTCCCGTCAAGTTGATAAAGTGGACGCTTGAAAGACACGCCGCCGGCACAAGGCCATGCGGTCAGCTTAGTTATTCTGAGTCAACAAGAAGCAGCCGAAGCCGCGTGGTTTTGTTCTAATAAATGCGCTTTTCCGAGAGGACAAAGCTCTGGTGCATGTATTAGCTCTAGCTTTTCCACAGTTATCCATTTAGATAATCAAGATCAAGTAAATCATGGCCATTGTAATGAGCCGTTCGCGGTTTCTCGTTAAAACGATTAAACTTATACATGCATGGCTTAATCTTTGAAATGAACACATCAGTTCAGGCAGGATCAACCAGATATCTTTTATTTAGGTAGTTAGCAGAGCTGGAATTACCCAGTCTGCGGGTAATTAAGCTGTCATTAATATTGATTATATTGATAATTTTAGAATAAAATCTCGAAAATAATCTGAAATTAAAAAATTAATGACAGCTTATTATATATTTAATTTCCTTTGCAAAAGATATCTAAATTATTTACAATTTATCAGCGGCACTTTCACAAAAGTTATCAATGGCAATTCCTGACAATTGTCTGGAGCCAAATAAATATTGCAGCTGGAGAAAAATTAGGATTATAAAGCTTATGATTATTATCAGATTTAGAATAAAGCTGCTTTAAAATAAACTGATAATAAAGCTTAATATAATAATAACAGTAAATTTTTTAAAAAAATAAAGCTTATAATAATAAACTTTAAATTTAAAAAAAGATTAAAGTTATCCACCGGAAAGGCTAGGAATTTTGTTTTTTTTTAAAATATAGAGAAAAAAAGAGTGCTGGCGTCCTCACTTAAGAGGCTCATTAAGTCTTAAACTCATTATAGTCCTAACATGTCACCACATATACAGCCACGGACGTTCACAACTGTATCAGCAACACCTAGACACCAGCGACAGCCGTTACACAACAATTATTTCATTGCGATTCAAAATTGAACATCACATAAAGTAATGATCCAGCAGCAGGTTCACCTACAGCTACCTTGTTACGACTTTTGCCCGGTTCAAGCCACTGCGATTAAATTGGTTTCCATCAAAATAATTTAGATAAATTAAATCAACGGTCCCCAAATTTCTCGAAATGGCTCAGTCCCGGGCAGCGACGGGCGGTGTGTACAAAGGGCAGGGACGTAATCAACGCGAGCTGATGACTCGCACTTACTTGGAATTCCTCGTTCACGGAAAATAATTGCAATTTCCGATCCCAATCACGGCAAATTTTCAATGGTTTACCCGCCCCTTTCAGGGTAGGACAAGCACGTTGATTTTGCCAGTGTAGCGCGCGTGCAGCCCCGGACATCTAAGGGCATCACAGACCTGTTATTGCTCAATTTCTTTCGGCTGAACGCCGCAAATCCCTCTAAGAAGCTGTATACACAAAGAGTATGTACCAACTATTTAGTAGGTTAGAGTCTCGCTCGTTATCGGAATAAACCAGACAAATCACTCCACGAACTAAGAACGGCCATGCACCACCATCCACTGAATCATGAAAAAGCTATCAATCTGTCAATCCTCACAGTGTCCGGGCCGGGTGAGTTTCCCCGTGTTGAGTCAAATTAAGCCGCAGGCTCCACTCCTGGTGGTGCCCTTCCGTCAATTCCTTTAAGTTTCAGCTTTGCAACCATACTTCCCCCGGAACCGGAAGACTTTCGTTTCCGGGAAGCTCCCCACCAAGGCAATATAATTTCCATCAGCGGATCGCTAGTTGGCATCGTTTACGGTCAGAACTAGGGCGGTATCTGATCGCCTTCGAACCTCTGACTTTCGTTCTTGATTAATGAAGACATTCTTGGCAAATGCTTTCGCTGTAGTTTGTCTGGCCACGGTCCAAGAATTTCACCTCTCACGGGGCCATACAAATGCCCCCGTTTGTCTCTGTTAACCATTATCTCAGTCCGTAAAACCAATAAAACTGAACCGAAATCGTTTTCTATTATTCCATGCACGATCATTCAAGCGAAAACGCCTGTTTGAAGCACTCTGATTTGTTCAAAGTAAACTTGCAATGACTGTTAAGAATCCTGTTAAGGACTCAAAACCGAACATTACGATAAATCGATAACACCCAGAAACACCCGAAGGGTTCCAAGGTACCGATACGAATCCAACTACGAGCTTTTTAACCGCAGCAATAATTCTATGTATTAGCAGAGCTGGAATTACCGCGGCTGCTGGCACCAGACTTGCCCTCTGCTTGATACTCGTTAAAGGGTTTAAATTGTACCCATTCCGATGACCGGCCTCAAAGAGAACAGTCTCGTTATTTCTCGTCACTACCTCCTCGAGCCGAGAGTGGGTAATTTGCGCGCCTGCTGCCATCCTTAGACGTAGTGGCCATTTCTCAGGCCCCTTCTCCGGAGTCGAACCCTGATCCTCCGTTATCCGTCACATCACGGGAGTCGATTATGCTACCGTCAAGTTGATAAAGTGGACGCTTGAAAGACACGCCGCCGGCACAAGGCCATGCGGTCAGCTTAGTTATTCTGAGTCAACAAGAAGCAGCCGAAGCCGCGTGGTTTTGTTCTAATAAATGCGCTTTTCCGTGAGGACAAAGCTTTGGTGCATGTATTAGCTCTAGCTTTTCCACAGTTATCCATTTAGATAATCAAGATCAAGTAAATCATGGCCATTGTAATGAGCCGTTCGCGGTTTCTCGTTAAAACGATTAAACTTATACATGCATGGCTTAATCTTTGAAATGAACACATCAGTTCAGGCAGGATCAACCAGATATCTTTTATTTAGGTAGTTAGCAGAGCTGGAATTACCCAGTCTGCGGGTAATTAAGCTGTCATTAATATTGATTATATTGATAATTTTGGAATAAAATCTCGAAAATAATCTGAAATTAAAAATTAATGACAGCTTATTATATATTTAATTTCCTTTGCAAAAGATATCTAAATTATTTACAATTTATCAGCGGCACTTTCACAAAAGTTATCAATGGCAATTCCTGACAATTGTCTGGAGCCAAATAAATATTGCAGCTGGAGAAAAATTAGGATTATAAAGCTTATGATTATTATCAGATTTAGAATAAAGCTGCTTTAAAATAAACTGATAATAAAGCTTAATATAATAATAACAGTAAATTTTTTAAAAAAATAAAGCTTATAATAATAAACTTTAAATTTAAAAAAAGATTAAAGTTTATTATTATAAGCTTTATTTTTTTTAAAAAATTTAATTCTTCAAAAAAATTTTTTTAATCCTAATTTTCCTCCCACACATTTTTATAATTGCCCATTTTCTTTTTGCCTTAAACCATTCCCGCGAACAGCGAACAACAAATAGCCCCGCCCACTTTGCCTTAGAGAATTTTTTCTTAAATATTGAGAAATTGAAAACACAGTGATTACGACCATACCGCGTTGAAAGCACGCCATCCCGTCCGATCTGGCAAGTTAAGCAACGCTGGGCTTCCTTAGTACTTGGAACGGAGACGTCCTGGGAATCGGGGGTGTCGTAATCTTTTTTTAATGCTTTGGCAAAAACTTGAGTCTAAGAAAACACACTTGAGTCTATAGAAAACAATTATTTAACTTTTTTATAAATTGTAGTTTATATATACATACCTTTACTTGAGTATATATTTTACTTGAGTCGATTATTTGATTGCCTTGGGTAAATTTGATTGACTGGGGGGGGGATTTTTAATCGGATCGTCACAGACTCATAAACCAAAAATGCCTGGTGAAATTTGATTGCCTGGGGGAACCCTATTGCCTGAACCCTACGACACTTGGTCAATTGCACTTTGGTCTACTTTGCCTGAGGCAATTTACCGCGTACGCTTGGGACTGCTTCAAAGAGTTAGGACGATTAACCCTCATTTCCACAGTTCCCAGCCAGTCGATGGAATTGCTTCCATTAAGACCAGCTTTGTGTTTCCCGAAAAACACTTCGTCCGTTGCATTCAGAATGCCCATCGGCGATCAACGCCAATGAGTCGAAAATCTTAATAGTCATGAACGTGTTTGCACGGTTAGGCGTTCACACTTCAGCGAGACAACGACAAGTGTGCTCGAATTAGCCTGTCTGAGCCGTGAATGGCTCCAAGCTGCATCTTATCGAGGAGTTCAAGGGCGGACTTTCCCTTTATGTTCAACTCCCCTAGCCGCTCAACGATATTTGGTAATACTTCACCACAAGTTCCAATCACAATTGGGGTCACTGATACTCCAGCTTTAAATTCCTTTCCGTATAGTTCCCCCAAAAGTGCTCTAATATTGTATCCGTGTGTTCTAGTGATCGGGTCAGCTAGAACTGTCACGTCTTCAATCTCAGAATTCGTGGCATACTTGTGGTACTTGATTTGATCCTGTTTTACCAGGTTTTCATACCAAGCCACGCATACCTCTACGACATGGATTTTCCCCGTGGTTTTATCAAATATAACCAAATCTGGTCTATCGTGACGTAGACCTTCGTATCTCATCGTCTTATCAACCCCTTGCAGGGTTGCTCTCACATTCCGTGTAAACAGGTGCACATCATAATAGATCTTTGCTGAGTCGTTTTCCATAACCGCAGGGACTGGCTGGTTATGCGCTACTTGCTGCAAGCCGAATCTTCGGCTGAACGTTGCATGCAACCGATTCACCACATTATTGTGGCGTTCCAGCATGAGCCCAGTCCTATAGACCGGGCATCCTGAGAGAATATGCTGCACGCTTTCGCGCGCTGCATGACATCTCCTGCACTTAACATCTGCTTCAGTTTGTCCCTTTCGGAACAATTCAGCTGCATTTAGCGCACCTTCCTGTGCCGCTATGCAATTTCGAAAAACGAGTCTCCCAACTTTGGCCCTTTTTAGCCAATGGAAGCTCAACACATGATCTATTACTGGTGAATTGATCACTTGTCCAGCCATAGGTAAACTTTTCCAAATTCCCAATTGCACATCATTAAATTTGGCTTTCACCAATTTCATGATGGCTCTTGCTCCTTTAGTAGCATTTTCATGGTATTGTCCATCAACGAACAATCCTCTTTTTCCATGAACTGCCCCGTTTCCTTCGGCCGCCGGTACCATAATTACTTCGGAAAGCTTCATAGGCCTGAGTATCAGTTTCCTGAACCCTTTTGAAACTGACTCTGATATGCCTTTTCTGGCACGAGAACCAAATAAGATGCGGGCGATCTCTAGGTCGTTTTTGCATTGGAGATAACTCCAGCAATAAACAACCCCCTCATGAAGCACCTCAGTCAGGGACTTGAGTCCGAGTCCTCCTGATTTTGTTTCGACATAAAGTCGTGAGCTACATGAGCTATAAAATCTCCATCCTTTAGCACCATCATTAGTTTGTTGCTTAAGCAACTTTCGTACCAGCTTATCGAATTCAGAGGCGAGGTCCCTTGCTTTTAACCAGCTCGGGCCCCCTGCGACAGTATTCATATAGAGAAACCTACCTACCGGCATCACGCACACACTATAAGCAGCCCGGAAGGATCCCCATGTTTTCTCTGTCAAGAGGAGTTTCTCTATTCGAGTCACCATCTTCTCCTTAATTCGATTCCAGGCTTCCTCAAAGTTAATCTCGAAGCTTTCCTCAACGCCCAGATATGAATATGCTTTATTGCCGAGAGTTGGCAAGTCAATGACTGTCTCCTCTCCCTGGATCTCTGCCGGAATCCAGGCACACTTTCTTGTGTTAAATTCAAGGCCGATTGTTTTCGCTATTCCTCTCGTTTTCTCTATGATTTCTCTTAGATACTCGTTAGAGGTAGCGAATCCTTTGAAATCGTCCATATAGAACAGGTGGTTTAGACTCAGCGTGATTTCCTGTCCAGGTATGGATACCTCGTATTTTGGCAATAATTCAAGATTATGAGAAATAGGCGCAATTGCCAAACAATAGAGTAAAGGAGACATACTGTCACCTTGCAATACTCCATTTTTAACCCGTAACTTCTTGCTTTGGGTTATTCTCCCATTCTTCAGCAATTCATATCGGACGCTCCAGCCCCTCATTAGCTCTGCAATCGCATGCCGTATGTTAGGCTGGAGGTTTATGGCTCGGAGAGTGTACCTTATCCACGGTTGGCTTACGGAGTCAAACGCCTTAGCAAAATCCACCCACACTGCTGCCAAACAGGTGTTAGTAGCTTTCGCATGAGACGTAATAGTCCTGTCCAATATTGTGGCATGAGTACACCCCCAAGTGTCTTTCACCAGTGCTCGTTGCTCGTATGGCAATATGTTATGAGTGGTAAGGTGGTCATTTATCCAAGCAGTCATTACCCCCGTTATCAGTTTATACATAGTGTTTAAACATGCTATGGTTCTGTAATTATCTGCTCTGCTCAGATCACCTCTTTTTGGGAGGAGGACCACCCTTCCTTCAGTGAGCCATTTAGGGAACTTAAGCTTATGCTTTTTGATTCCCATCAACCAGTCAAATAGCACCCTGTTTGCGGGAATTAACCTTTTCCATAAAAGATTAGGGATCCCGTCTGGACCTGGCGCCTTTGATGGCCGAGCTTTCTTCAGAACCAATTGCCAACGTCGGAGATCTTCAGCATAACTGCTAAATTGTTGACCTTTTGCGGTCTTTTCTTGCACTGCCTTGGACCAGTTAGCTAGCTCCGGTGTTCTTTCAAACGGCCGGTGCTTACCTACTATTCCCGACCAGTAGCTCCTAGCATCCTCGGCTGACTTAAGCTTGGATTCACCACGAGGCTCCTCTAGCTTTCGTCTGAGAGGCAAAGCTTTTTGCAAAGCCTCACACTCTCTCCGTGATCTAAGTTCTATCCGATCTTTAAGCAGTGCAAGGTGCACCTTCAATGATTCGTTTTTGGCCATCAAATCATTGGTAGTCCTTATCGGTCTACCTCCGACTTGGTAGCATCTTTGCAAATCATAGAAGTTTCTCCTTTGTCTGGGGGTGGGTTTAATCTTAGATCTTCTCCGTCGGATTTCGTCAGTAATCCAACCGATGTGTGTTCTAAGACGGTTACATTCCTTCATTCGGTCATTTTTCCACTCAGCAGCTAGCCGCCGAGCTTCCTTATATCCTGTAGAAGTACTAGTTTCCAGTGTCTTACCTGCTGTATACACGGCAGTATTAAGGACTTTCAAGACCCCATACTTTCGTGCATGTCGATCGACACATTCTCGAACACACTGACCTAAGCCTACCCATTCTGAAGCTTTCACCTTACTGACATTGATTCTAAGAGGTTTCCTTTCCATCTTTCCTTTAATTGTCTGATGGTAGGTCCTCCAGAATGCAGCCCGTAAGGCTTCTCGCTCTAACAGTTCACCAGAGGATGTGTTATCCTTATTTTCCTTGCATTTGTCTTTGGCCTTTTCTTTATTCTTATCGGAGGTGCTGGCTGTCACCTTCAAGGTGTTCGCTGGCACCTTTGTACCCTTTTTATTGGGTACTTGTTCTTCTAAGGAGAGATGCACTAGTCTCTCCTTTTCCTTCTCTTTTCTGGCCTCGGACACTTGCTCGGATCGGGCTGGACTTTTATCTTTAACGTAAGTCCTTCCCAAGGTTAACACCCTCTCATTATTTGCCAAGTTTTGCAACTTGCTCTTGTGCTGCGTGGTTTTCCGTTCTATTGGTAGACCAGACTGTTTTATGAGTTGATCTCCTTCGAACCGATAACCTCGCTTTTCAAGCATATTTCTGCGCTGGTACAAAGCAATGGCAGATCTGTTCCCAAATCCACCTTGTTTGCCTGCATCAGATGATTGCCTGAAAACCTCCCAGATCTCGAAGAACTCAGCTGGTGTCAAGCGTCTACCATTTCTGATTTCCGCCTTACGCCATGTTATGAACATAGAGTCCTCCTCGATCCGGTCCCACCGTGCTGCACTAAGATTCCCTTTGTTTCCCCGTCTAGCGGGTAAACCACCAACCGCGTCGCTTAATCGGCGTGCAACAGGCCTTTCTTGCGACAGTTCACGAAGAACATCGTGCGGTTGATTCTCTTCACCTCCTTCTCCTCCTTCTCTTCTTTCCCCTTTATCATTATTTTTATTTTTATTTAGTGAAGTCTTCATTTTTAATTTTTTCCCGAAGTGATACCCAAACGTCATAATCCGCCCAGGTGTGTCTCCTGGGTCGGGTCTGTAGACTTGACATATCCCAGACCGAGAGGTGTAGACTTCGGTTGGAGCGCCCGAATGTCTTCTAATCCCATTCGGGGAGCCTGTAGACTGGCCGTAGCGAGTCGGGCGGAGAATAATGTCTCGAACGCCTTTTTACAGGCTTAGACTTCTGCATATTTCAGCACACCTCTAGCTTTTCCCGAGATCAGTCTCACCCCGTAAGGCTTTGTTCGAACATTGCACTCCTACAATGCCTGTCTCCCGGGAATTAGCATTGGAAATACAGCTGTCAAGCTGTACCGAGGCGCATTCAAAATCCTATTCTGCAATTCATCTTTCGGGCTTGTGTCCTTAGACTCCCCATCAGTACTAGAGTAAAAGTTTTTCCCGACGGAGATCAGTCTCTAGCTAATCGTAGGTTTTCAGTCCCTTCCAGTTCGTACTTAGGCCTCTGAGATGCTTTAAGAACTAGCCAGTATTTTACTAATCACATTTTTGAGTCTCAATATCCCCTAGAGTCATTTAAGACTCAATTGTCAGGGGGAACTAGAGTCTCAGAAAAAAAATTGGTAAAATTTCCGGGCAGATTGTCTTTCGGCTTTCCACCCGAAGGCCTGCTCTTAGCTTTTCCTAGTGGCCGGATTTCCTAACCCTGCTTCGTCTTTCGATTCAGCAGGCAAGGTTGGGGCTTAAAAACCTAGTATTTTTCGAAGAAAATCAAAAAGCATGGCTTTATAAAAATGTTTATTTAAATAAATAAAAACAATTTTAAAATTGTCAAATAAAAACAATTAAATAAATTGTCAATTATTTGGAGGAGGTCTGAGCCTCTTCTCCCTTCTTCTTTCCTTTCTCCTCCTTCTTTTTCTTTTCCTTCTCTCCTCTCGGGGTGTTAACAACCCCCGAGGTACTCGCCGGCACCTCCACCACCTCCTTTTCTTTCTCCTTCTCCTCCTCCAAAGTCAATTTCTTTTTGTTTTTCTTCTTCCACTTCTTCTTCCTCTTATTTTTTGTAATGGTTTTGTTGTTGCTGTTTGCAGCAGCAGCACCTCCACCACCACTCAAAATAGCTGAAAAAAAAAGGTTGGATACTTGCTTTTTCTGACAAAATACTTACAAGGATGGGCCTGAGCCCAAAAATCCACCAATTTTTTCAATTCTTCAGGAGAACTAGCCTCCAATGTGAATTTAAACATTTCGATTAGTTCTGCAAAAAGAAAAATTTAGAGGAAGAAAAAGCATACAAATAAAAAGCTTAAGTCTGAGCCGTTCGATGAATCGGCAGATTTTCCCTTTCTCGTCAGAATACTTAAATAACTGACGGTCAACCGAGGGCTTTTACGGCATGCCTCGGGGGCTGGGAAATTGTGTTAGGACCTACACAAATAGCCCCTTGCCAACGAGATTTTAGCAACCCGGCTACCATCAATATAGCTTTTTGATTTTCTTCGAAAAATACTAGGTTTTTAAGCCCCAACCTTGCCTGCTGAATCGAAAGACGAAGCAGGGTTAGGAAATCCGGCCACTAGGAAAAGCTAAGAGCAGGCCTTCGGGTGGAAAGCCGAAAGACAATCTGCCCGGAAATTTTACCAATTTTTTTTCTGAGACTCTAGTTCCCCCTGACAATTGAGTCTTAAATGACTCTAGGGGATATTGAGACTCAAAAATGTGATTAGTAAAATACTGGCTAGTTCTTAAAGCATCTCAGAGGCCTAAGTACGAACTGGAAGGGACTGAAAACCTACGATTAGCTAGAGACTGATCTCCGTCGGGAAAAACTTTTACTCTAGTACTGATGGGGAGTCTAAGGACACAAGCCCGAAAGATGAATTGCAGAATAGGATTTTGAATGCGCCTCGGTACAGCTTGACAGCTGTATTTCCAATGCTAATTCCCGGGAGACAGGCATTGTAGGAGTGCAATGTTCGAACAAAGCCTTACGGGGTGAGACTGATCTCGGGAAAAGCTAGAGGTGTGCTGAAATATGCAGAAGTCTAAGCCTGTAAAAAGGCGTTCGAGACATTATTCTCCGCCCGACTCGCTACGGCCAGTCTACAGGCTCCCCGAATGGGATTAGAAGACATTCGGGCGCTCCAACCGAAGTCTACACCTCTCGGTCTGGGATATGTCAAGTCTACAGACCCGACCCAGGAGACACACCTGGGCGGATTATGACGTTTGGGTATCACTTCGGGAAAAAATTAAAAATGAAGACTTCACTAAATAAAAATAAAAATAATGATAAAGGGGAAAGAAGAGAAGGAGGAGAAGGAGGTGAAGAGAATCAACCGCACGATGTTCTTCGTGAACTGTCGCAAGAAAGGCCTGTTGCACGCCGATTAAGCGACGCGGTTGGTGGTTTACCCGCTAGACGGGGAAACAAAGGGAATCTTAGTGCAGCACGGTGGGACCGGATCGAGGAGGACTCTATGTTCATAACATGGCGTAAGGCGGAAATCAGAAATGGTAGACGCTTGACACCAGCTGAGTTCTTCGAGATCTGGGAGGTTTTCAGGCAATCATCTGATGCAGGCAAACAAGGTGGATTTGGGAACAGATCTGCCATTGCTTTGTACCAGCGCAGAAATATGCTTGAAAAGCGAGGTTATCGGTTCGAAGGAGATCAACTCATAAAACAGTCTGGTCTACCAATAGAACGGAAAACCACGCAGCACAAGAGCAAGTTGCAAAACTTGGCAAATAATGAGAGGGTGTTAACCTTGGGAAGGACTTACGTTAAAGATAAAAGTCCAGCCCGATCCGAGCAAGTGTCCGAGGCCAGAAAAGAGAAGGAAAAGGAGAGACTAGTGCACTCTCCTTAGAAGAACAAGTACCCAATAAAAAGGGTACAAAGGTGCCAGCGAACACCTTGAAGGTGACAGCCAGCACCTCCGATAAGAATAAAGAAAAGGCCAAAGACAAATGCAAGGAAAATAAGGATAACACATCCTCTGGTGAACTGTTAGAGCGAGAAGCCTTACGGGCTGCATTCTGGAGGACCTACCATCAGACAATTAAAGGAAAGATGGAAAGGAAACCTCTTAGAATCAATGTCAGTAAGGTGAAAGCTTCAGAATGGGTAGGCTTAGGTCAGTGTGTTCGAGAATGTGTCGATCGACATGCACGAAAGTATGGGGTCTTGAAAGTCCTTAATACTGCCGTGTATACAGCAGGTAAGACACTGGAAACTAGTACTTCTACAGGATATAAGGAAGCTCGGCGGCTAGCTGCTGAGTGGAAAAATGACCGAATGAAGGAATGTAACCGTCTTAGAACACACATCGGTTGGATTACTGACGAAATCCGACGGAGAAGATCTAAGATTAAACCCACCCCCAGACAAAGGAGAAACTTCTATGATTTGCAAAGATGCTACCAAGTCGGAGGTAGACCGATAAGGACTACCAATGATTTGATGGCCAAAAACGAATCATTGAAGGTGCACCTTGCACTGCTTAAAGATCGGATAGAACTTAGATCACGGAGAGAGTGTGAGGCTTTGCAAAAAGCTTTGCCTCTCAGACGAAAGCTAGAGGAGCCTCGTGGTGAATCCAAGCTTAAGTCAGCCGAGGATGCTAGGAGCTACTGGTCGGGAATAGTAGGTAAGCACCGGCCGTTTGAAAGAACACCGGAGCTAGCTAACTGGTCCAAGGCAGTGCAAGAAAAGACCGCAAAAGGTCAACAATTTAGCAGTTATGCTGAAGATCTCCGACGTTGGCAATTGGTTCTGAAGAAAGCTCGGCCATCAAAGGCGCCAGGTCCAGACGGGATCCCTAATCTTTTATGGAAAAGGTTAATTCCCGCAAACAGGGTGCTATTTGACTGGTTGATGGGAATCAAAAAGCATAAGCTTAAGTTCCCTAAATGGCTCACTGAAGGAAGGGTGGTCCTCCTCCCAAAAAGAGGTGATCTGAGCAGAGCAGATAATTACAGAACCATAGCATGTTTAAACACTATGTATAAACTGATAACGGGGGTAATGACTGCTTGGATAAATGACCACCTTACCACTCATAACATATTGCCATACGAGCAACGAGCACTGGTGAAAGACACTTGGGGGTGTACTCATGCCACAATATTGGACAGGACTATTACGTCTCATGCGAAAGCTACTAACACCTGTTTGGCAGCAGTGTGGGTGGATTTTGCTAAGGCGTTTGACTCCGTAAGCCAACCGTGGATAAGGTACACTCTCCGAGCCATAAACCTCCAGCCTAACATACGGCATGCGATTGCAGAGCTAATGAGGGGCTGGAGCGTCCGATATGAATTGCTGAAGAATGGGAGAATAACCCAAAGCAAGAAGTTACGGGTTAAAAATGGAGTATTGCAAGGTGACAGTATGTCTCCTTTACTCTATTGTTTGGCAATTGCGCCTATTTCTCATAATCTTGAATTATTGCCAAAATACGAGGTATCCATACCTGGACAGGAAATCACGCTGAGTCTAAACCACCTGTTCTATATGGACGATTTCAAAG